GTCTTACACGTAAGCGGATGACTCGTTTCATCAATTAGATCATTTTTTTCATTATTTGTCTGAGCATCTTTATCCATCCTCGATGTACCTTTATATAATTGATTCGATTTATTTTGATTTTCCATTTGTATTTTCGACGCTTTATTTGGTTCATTAATGTTTCGTTGTCTCTTTCCATGTTTACTCGTTGATTTTTAACCCTCTGTATTTCGTCCTGCAACTTATCTATCTGAACCTGTTGACTTGTTATTATACTTGCTGTGCTTGGTCGTTTTCGTCTTTCGTTTGTGGGCGAGTCATCATTACATGGAAAAAAATTTACAGTTATATTCAAGAAAATTATAATTTAAACTCTAACTATTTATTATCTATATTTCAAATCTCACATTTACAATTATTGTCTCTTTCTACCACTAATTAAGCATCAATTGTAACAAATTATTATTTTATTATTTGATCCTTACATTTACGCTATTTAGTCAACAAATATATTATATTTATTGTTACAAGTTATCGTCTTTCATAAGAAAATTATGACACTGATTTTCAAATCATCTTAAACTCTTTGACAAAACATTCAACATACTATACATATGCACACTAGCTGAATTGATTATAATAAACATAAAATATAAATTGTATAACATTAAGATCAGCAGGAATTCTTGAAAGTGATTAACAAATTAAAAGAATGTAATTTTAGATATCAAATTTATAATTCTCTTGTACATACTCCCTATAGGCGTTGCACTATATATATTTAGATTGCAGCTCCCTTGTCGCTTAAAATCAAAATATTAATTTCTATAATTATATATATTTTTTGTCGTACCGTCTACCTGGCTCAGGCCTCTTGACCACATTAAATTTCTCTTCTCCTTCCCTTCGTACATTTTTCGTTTCTTATATAGCTATAGCTTTTCACTACTTTTACTATCATTATATCTCCTCGTCTCTACTCTCTCATACTCTCAAAACCCTATCACAAGTTTCGGGTTGAAACGAAACTAAATTCAATTTGTTAATTTAGTTTTGTATCAACTCAGAACCTAATAAAACGGAACTAGACTTTCGGGACGGTTTTTGAGTGTTTTACTAACTAACTAATTCGTATTTTCAACAGGAAGATTTATTATTATTAAAAATATAATATTGTATGCTGGAATACTTAAATTTTGTAATATCATTTTTTTAATAATTATAAAATAACTTGAATTAAAATATTAATAAAAACCTAAAATATATGGGTGCAATTTAGATTGTACTATTATTACACTGTTCGACAAAATTTTTCTACAAGAACAAATTGTTTGATATTGTTTTCGCGATCGTATTGAATAAATTGCAAAAAACGTTAATAAAGACACAATATCGACTTAAATTCAATTGTTAATCGTTACTCGTAAGTTTTTGTTCTCGAAGCTGATGTTAGTTTTGAAAAATACAATATGGCAGATAACTTTTCCTAGTGAAAAAAGTTCTATAAAATGATTCTATAGAATAACTCTACAGAGAATTCTATAGAGTATTCAACGATGTAGAATGAATGAAAAAAAAATGCACAAAAATGAATATTCTGTTTTTTATTCTATAGAATATTATATAAAGCATTCTATAGACTATTATGTAGAATTTATCTAAAAATATTTTATAAAATGCTCTACAGAGTCATTCTATAGAATTTGTCCTATGTGATCGCGGAAACAATATCTGTTGGGCGCGCACGCCGTAAAAAGTTGTTCCTACAATTTTCAGTTATTTCTACATCGTTTTTTGCTTTTGGATGTTAAAGTTCAGGGTTCGTGCTCTTATTGACAATTTTTTTCAAATTAAGTAAAAGTCAATATAGAATTTTAAATTTTAATATTCAAGAACCAAATATTCATGGTGGACCGGACAAAATAATTATAATTTTCCTTTTTACAATAAACATGCATGTAAAATTGATTATACAATGACGCTGTGTACTACTAAACTTTATTTCACGTAAAATATAAATAATTATTCATTTTATTGATAATACATGATGATTTGACCATGCCAATTCTGTGATACCCTGTGCAACTTTCCTGCTTTTAACACAAAAAAATAATTTTTATCCCACATGCACAAAAATGGCGCTTTTAGATAGCTGACGACAGGGAGTAAAGTCACTCATTTGTTCGACCGTATGAAAATGGCGACCTTTTTTCCCCATAGGCAAAAAAAACAATTGGTCCCATGCGTTATTTTTACCCATGGGAAAAAAAGTCCGTCATTTTCATACAAGTCGAAGAAGTGAATTACTCCCTGTCGTCTGCTATCTGAAATCGACACTTTTGTGCATCCACTCGTGTCACAAAAAACACCGTAAACAAATGGCTGCTGCCTTTATACTAATATACTTATTATATTATACTATATTATTATTATATTATATTAAACTTATATTATACTTATTATACTCCTTTATACTATTCTAGTAATAATAGTTGCCGTCAAGATATGCAAATCCGTCCGTTTTAGCCTCAGTCTCCCTTATGTTGAATTTTTTTAAAAATTTTAAAAGGCGCAGAACATTAAAAAAAATTGTTTGTAAACAATTTATTAAATAATTATTAAAAAATTTTCGAATTCTAAACGAAAGTATGTGTTATCCGTTTTATATTTCCGCTTGGTTTATTTAAATTGGTTTATTTATCTAAAAGAAATAAAATTTTGTTTATAAAGTTGCAAAAAAATTCATTTTTTTAAGTTTTATTAAAAAAACTTTTTGGTATTAGGTTAGACACATTTTTAAGGCTAAATAGAAATGTTTTGCTTCCTCATGAGGAAGCTTTGCATTGGTGACGATTTTCAATTTTTCAAAAGAAGGTTATATGGACTCATTTTCATCTAAAACATATGTATATTCAATTATGAGCAAATGTCCAGATGTATGTGTGTGTGTGTGTATGTGTGTATGTGTGTATGTGTGTGTGTGTGTATGTCACAAAAATTGTGTACAAATTATCTCAGACAAATTTTGATGGATTGTCCTGACATTTTGCAGGTTTATTGTAGTCATTAATACCCAAAATCTGACACAAGGATTTTCGAAAATATCTACAAAAATTTTTTTTATACATTTTTTTTAAAATTCAGAAAAAATTTTTTTTGTATTTTTTGAAATAATTTTTTTATTTGTTAATATTTTCATTAATTTTTCTCAAAATTACATTCCTGACAAGAAAACGAATCGATTGATGTATACAAAGTATATATTTTATCAAAATTTATCAAATTAATAAATATTTTTCTTTTTAAAAAAAAATTCAAATTTTGTATTTTTTTCATAATTTATTTAATATTAATATTAATATTTTGAAATGATTATTCTATTATAAAAAAGAAGCAATTGGCAAATGAAAGTGTAAATTTCACCAAATATTTATATAACAACTTATAAATTATAAATGATTTATATAATTTTATTTTTAACAAATCTTCTGGACGAACCCTTTTGTACATAGTTTTTCAAAAGTTTGCAAAACCGCAATTTTTATACATTGAGGAAGCTAAATGGTCATGAAATGAACAACTTGTTTTAACATTTCGGTTTGAAAAAATTTATTTTTCGTAAAAATTTCACGAATTCTGACTTACTTGTTTTTTGAAAAATTAACAATTTGTTTTTTAAATTTAAATATAATTTTTCTAAAAAACTTCTAATATAAAAAATGATTACCTTGCTAGTCTTACTAAGGTTCAAATACTCACTTTTTTGAGTCCAAAAAATTTGGTTATGATTAGTAGGTACATTTTTATTTTTCTAATACATTGCGCGGGCATTCAATCATTTTTGTATAAACGTTTGCAGAGATTAGAGATTTTGTTTAGATTAGTTGTTCAAGTTAGTTTACATTTTACAATGTTCGTCGTAACAGTGTACCTCCCTCATGGTTACACATCAAACGTGAGGGCACTTTGAAAAACGCTTCTCATGTGATGAAAAGTACGGCAAGAAGCAGATCATACAACTTTGCAGTCCCGAGAACGCATCAACCCTACTATCTAAGATAATTTACTTAGATCCGGCAAGGGTCCTGGTGGCAAGTGGACTAACTACGAAATGCCATTAGTAAGAAAAGGATGGTCATATCTCTGTCTTTTTCTTGCTAATGAAATTTTTTAGTTAGTCCTCTTGCCACAAGAACCGTTGCCGGATCTAGGTGAAGTATCTTAACTACTATCGTACGTAAATTCATCTCACCGATTCTGAATTTCTCTGCATACGATTATACAGAGATGATCGAATTATCCCTGTGACATTAGCTTTTCCTTTTGATACGCAGAAGTGCAATCGAATTTTTCACACATATTCTGGACACGTGTACACAGCTTTTAAGCTCTATTGGCGTCCCAAATTCAAAAAAGTTCTTAACGACCCACCCTACCCGACACACAGCACCGACAATCTTTGTGTAAACTTATACAATATGCACCCTACTCCCAGCACCAACAGCGTTTGTGCGAGCATGTTGTGATGGAAAAGGACAAACTTATACAACATGTACCCGACACACGGCACCGACAATCCTTGTGCACGAATGCACAAGAATCCCTTTTCCCTTAAGGCCTTTCTCCAAAAGGTTCCCATAAGTCTGCGTTGCATCGGTTGCTATGGCATTATATGCTAAAATCAACGTAACACAATCATTCGCAGACTTTTGGGATCCTATTGGAGAATGGCCTTTAGAGAAACACACGAATGTGAGTGAGAGAAAATTTTGAATTCTCTTCCTCTCTCACTCTGATGCGCCATCCTTGCTCCGTCAGCTCACAGACAAGCTAGTAGCTGAGCTGTCACCGAGCCTTAAGTTTAACCCGAAATTTCTTGCACAATAATCTGTAGAAGCAATTTTAAATAAACACAATTTAGTGGTAAACGTTCTAGTTACCTTATGTTTACATCTCAATAAACCATTTTACAGTGTTGAATAAAGAATTTGAAAAGGTTGCCTTATGAGATTAATACTCACCGAAACATTTGCTCTGGTTAGTGGCCCGGTCGATAAAGACTTTGGAGGAGATGACGTTACCAAAAGGAATGAACATTTGCATGAGCTCAGCATCACCAAACTCTTGAGGCAGGTGGTAGATAAACAGGTTGCAGCCTTCAGGTCCTGAGATAGAGCATCCTACCATATAAATCAGAGCACATCTAAACATCTAAACTTGAAGTATAATACTCAAGTTAAAATGTTAGTTGACTTTTTGATGAACATTATTTTTCTTGAATGTCGAATGCGTAAGAAACTGAAGTTTATCGTTACATTACACGTAATTAATGAATCCAATTTTCAGCTGTTCATGAATGGTAATGTTAATGAAAGAATGAGAGTGATCGAATCGCGCGATTCTCGTAGCATAAACTCAATTCATACTAACTAACTGGTCGTCAAATTTTCATATAATTAATATTTTCTATTTCTTTAGTTAGATTCAATTTTTTCCAAATGCTGCAAAGAGGGAAGAAATTCAGTGTCTTGGACAAAATTCCGTGGACAACACAAATCTCTACCGATTTTAATTTTCTTTTTTTAAATACTAAGGATGGTTTTTCCTAGGATTCACTACTATAAATTTGAAATTTATTAATCATAACCCCCAATATTTAATAATATTTATTATTTTGCAATAATTATCTAGAAGTATTTAGAGTCATTAATTACTCAAGAAGTTTTGTAACAAGCATTTTGACTAAAGTATAATAATGATTTTATGACATACTCTGAAGAATTAATTTTATACAACTCAGGTGTATTATGGTCACTTTATCTACCTGTACAGGCGCGTACTAAGTTCCTCCTTATAACCCATCAGTCAATAAAGTAACCATTATAGCCCTAGGAAGATAAATGTACCCTTTATCTCCCTAGGGCAATAATGGTTACTTTATTGACCAGCTGGTTTATATGGGAGAACTTAACATGCACCGGTACAGGTAGCATAGAGTAACCATAATCCGCCTTTGTTGTATAAAGCAAAGTATGCAACAAGGAAGGTAACCTCGTTTATGACCTCGCACAATATTGAAAATCTCGGACTTACCTCCCTTGTTGCATAATGTACTATAATCATACTTGAATGCATTTTTAAGAAGTTTTCCTATAGATGCATATAGGTAACTTTCTCTCACTGTTTGAATGAATCTGATTTTTGAAGGTTATGTTTCAATAATTTTAAATTTATAGCAGTGAATCCTTCTAGAAAAAACCTTCCTTAGTATTTAAAAAAAAAGAAAATTTAAATCGGTGGAGGTTCGTGTTGCCGGCAGAATTTTGTCCAAAACATTGTATTTCTTCCCACTGTGGTCTGTAATAAATATTTAACTAAAGGAATAAGTATTTATATTGAGTAGATTGACAAACGACTTGTTAGAATTATTTAAAATTTAATCAAACCATAGGTAATATAATAAATGAAATTTTATTTTTTGTTAATAATAATGATACTGCATAATGAAAAATCATACGATAGTGCATAATAGGATTAATGAATAAATTAAGAAACAATTATTGGCATTGAACACTTAATCTGAAATTCCTTTCAAAATGTCAAAAATTGCTTCAATAATTAGTAAATAATGGGAAGGTAAATAATGGTATTCTTGGGTTTTTGAACTTTTGTTTGACAGACTTTTGACAAATGAACAAATAGATTTCAAGATTATGTGTCTTAAATCATTCATTTAAAAAATAGAAAATTTAACGAAAAAGATAATACAGTAGAACCTTGATAACTCGAAATCCTCAGTATGTCAACAAAATCGTTTTCAGACATTTTTCCAAAAACAATTTTCCGATTGTACAATTTTCCGAAAGTAAAAATTCTGAATACAATTTTCCAAACACAATTTACCAAATATCAATTTTCCAAATTTAAATAATTTTGAATAGACAATTTTCTGAAATTAAAATTGTTTCCAATAAGTATAGTTTGTGAAAATGTTATACTGGTCTATTTGTTTACATTTCCTAGACGAGATATAGTGTGTACTAGCCTGGCCATTTTTGTAAAATTATTTAATATCGATGAGTGTCGGGCTGAAAAAGTTTCCTTTTCATCTAAAAAAACAAATACAAAAACAAAAAAGTGAATGTGTGAATAATTAATGGACCCAAAAACTGATTGAATGTGAAAAAAGAGATTTTATTGAATTTTTTGCAGTAATTTTTAATGTTTCTTTAAAGAAAATATAATATATATGTATATGTTTTAGAGACTTCTTTCGCTAAAATTTTTTTTTTAAATTCAAAAATTGTTGAAGATACGCTATTTTGAATTTTAATATTAATTTTATAAAATTTTGAAAATCTCAGAATATTGTTTGTGAATTTTTATAAAATTTACACATTTTTTACGTAAAAATTTGTAATTTGAAATAAAAATAAAGTTAACAAAAAAAAAATTAATATTTAAATAAAAATTTTTAGGTATATCTCCGGCTCTAGAAGGCTAGCGACAGGAGGTGAAACTTCGGTAGTGGGGATGAGTCAAGAGCCTTTCTTTAACCAGGCGTTTTTCGTTTCGAAAAGTCGCCGGCGCGGTGCTTCTGCACATCACTCATACATTCAAATTCTTGTATACCGTGTGTTTTACATGTGTATATGATATGATTTTAATTTGAGGTTAACTTTAAAGTGCAATCGAGACACAATTTGTGTCATAACGGATATATAGAAATAATGTGAGTGATTATTAAATTAAGTGTTATTCAAATAGTTAAAAATTCCGAAAACGTGCTGTGTGAAAAGTTGTAACAAGAAGAAAGATAAACCTACACAACACTATGACTATTACTTTTTGTTAACTTTTAATGCACTTCATGCTACAGTTTACACATTTTTTTGTTTTCAAAACTTTTTTTTTTAATAACTAAAAGATGTTTGTAAATATAAACACTTATATTTCATATTGTATTTGTGTAGAATATATTTTCCCGTGTTTACGTGTTTAGATGCGCAGAAGTCCATGTGGTCTATTGCGGCGAAAACTTTTTTAAAAGTAAACGCCTGACCATAAACCAGCTGAGCGACTCAGCATTGACATACCCCCACTACCGAAGTTTTACCTCCTGTCTCTAGTCTTCTTGCTCCGGCTGCTACTCTTGAAAAAATTGATTTTCAATAGATTTTCTTCAAATTTTGAGAAAATGTCAAAAAAGAAGATATATATTGTGGTTGACATTTTTTATTTTTAACATAATCGCATGTAAAATTTAAAGTTTGAACTTGAATATCTGTATGCGATCTGCTAAAAAAATTTAGCATCGCAAAGGATTTTCAAATTTTTACCACATTTAAAGGGCACCCGAAGAGATATTTTTTAAAAAATTTAAAGAAATTCTATGGAAAAACAATTTTTTCAAGAGTAGCTGCCGGAGGATTCGAATTTTTTTTAGCATCGATAAAGATTTTCTATGGTAAAAAGCACAGAAAATTACTGTAGAGCCTTAAAAATTTCCAAAATTGATGAAGAAATTGGCGTTTATCATCAATTTTCCAAAAATTAGGGATTGTTTGTACAACAGGCCGACAGTATTTACTAAACAAGAATCAAACAATACTTTTCCAAAGGTTTTTAACGTGATAATTCCGAATCCTGAGCTTCATAATAGACCCTGCACGTCGGGTTTTCGAGGTATTTTAACTTAAAAGTGCAAAAGACCAGTTTTTTAACATCAAAATATAATTGTTTTGACAAAAGTTCAATATTGCATCTGAATACGCTACTTTTCTTCTTTAAAATACATTTTTAAAATTTAAAATATTTTTATTTTCCTCTGGAAATCGTTCATTCTGTTTACTGAGTTTGGCAAATTCTTTGAAAACTGAGTAAAAACAGACAAAACTTCGATAATGAAGAAGAATATTACTACAAACCAGGATATAAATTTTAAATTCTTCTGCGTATTGTCGGTACAACTGAATGCGAATACGATGTCAGATTTACAAAATCGTCTCAATTTTTGTAGAATTTTCCCAACTCACTAACAAATGAAGAGTTTTTAAATATCCGAAATGAAAAAAATCGAAAAACTGAGTTTATTCAAAATTTCATATACTGATTTTTTCTTTTTTGTCTTAAAATTATTGTATGACTTTACTGAAATTATACCAAAAAAAATTGGATGAGCAAGAACTTTTGTGTTTTTATTCGAAGCTCACCTTGTTGCTGCAGCTAGTCTTTTTTACAAAAACTTCAATATCTCCGGCACCAGATGAGTCTTCATCAATTTTGTTTTATTAAATTAAAGGTGAATTCATAAGGATTCCAAATATGTTCTTAACATTTTTCTCAAAGAAAGGTAAATAATTAAAAAATTGTTTAAAAAATTTCTTTGAAATTTTTTTTATTTAAAAACTAATTTTCTTATTAACATTATTTTTATTTTAAAGTACACATTTTTACCTGAAAAATGTGTAAACTTCATATTTTTCTGGCGGGCGGTACGTCTTTTTACCGCGCGGCACGTTAACCGTGCAGAAATTAAAATGTGGGCCTGATAGGGTACTGGACAGTTTTCCCGATCTCTGGTGCGGCTCTGGGTAGAGAAACTGACCAGTGCCCGACTAGTGTGTGACGCTGTTCCCGACCAATGCCCTACTTAGGGAAAAACTGGTCAGGGCCTCGTCAGTTTTTCTTAAAATTGCCCTATTTTGTGAGGCTAATTTTATTCAAAAGAAATTACAATAAAATTACTGTAATTAAAAATATTATTATATTAGAAACATAATGAACATATTCATTACACCCAGAGAAAAATATTATTTAAACCAAATATATTTTATTTGAGTTAAATAAACGTATATTTGTCTCAGAACCAACTACACTTTTTATTTCTTTTAAATAAAAATTTTATTCAACACAAATAAAACATATATTTGAGATAAATAAAATTTTATTTAAACCAAATAAAATTTATTTCAAACGAATAAAAAGTCTAGTTGGTTCTGAGACAAATATACACGGAAAAAAAAAGTTCCCAGATATTTCAGGAATTATTTCCTAACTCTTGGATACGTGGTAACAGCTCTGAACTAGCGTCGAACATTCAATGGTAATCAATGAATGTTTGAAAGAAATTCGGGAACTGTATTAGAAAACGCTGTAAATAGTCCAATAGTCTTTTTTT